CATGCAAAAGAATAAGGTGCATCCTTTTCTTTTATAACATATATAAATATCTCAAAATGGATTAAAGACCTGTCCAGCCAGTGTAGCTCAGTGGTTGAGCATTGGCCATGAACCAGGATCTTCAACATTTCTGTAGATACACTTTTTATACAATATGTTTGTGTGTGTGTGTGTGTGTGTGTGTGTGTATTTATTATTGATTTCAGAGAGGAAGGGAGAGACAGAAACATCAATGATGAGAGAGAATCATTGATCAGTTGCCTCCTGCATGGCCCCCACTGGGAATCGAGCCAGCAACCTGGGCATGTGCCCTTGACCAGAATCAAACCCGGGACCCTTCAGCCCACAGGACAACGCTCTATCCACTGAGCCAAACCAGCTAGGGCTGTAGATATATTTTTAACGGCTCCTTTCCCCTACTGTTTCTGAAACTGGAAAGCTGCAGATAGTGTACTTTTCCCTCTTTTACTTCCTCTCATTAAATGTCAAAATTAATCATGTTATGATTATTATCAGGTAGTGGTTCAGCCACAGCCACTTCCTGTCCCAGTTCCTGTTCACTATTCAAAGTAAGGTCCAGTATATTTTCCTTCCTAGTACTCAAAAACTACCTGTTCTAGGAAGCAGTTGGTTTTTCTTATCTGAAAACTAACTTATATATTTTGTGTCATTTTAGCAATTTGTATGAGACTAACAAATTGGACTAAAAAGGCAGCTTTCCTAAATGTTATTTAACATTTTCAACTTAAGTCATGATTCTGGTCATCAAGTGAATCACATTTATAAATTGAATGTATTTATGGTTCTGTGCTATTCTGAAGCATGAGACTTTTTCTTGTATTTCCAAGGACAGTCCCAATTTAAAACATTCTGTCCTACTGTCACATCTCAAGTTTGGATTTGGAAAAGACAGTCAGCATATATTCAAAGGGTACTTTGCAACATTGATTCTATGTGGCTACAGCCTAGATAAAGAGGTTAAGGAAGACAACAATCATTTTAAGATTCTTCTTCTATTTAAAATAATCCCAAAAAACATTCCACAAATTAAGTGCAAATGCCTCCAGTAGTATTAGTCTTCTTTAACAACTTAGAATGAAATATCACAATAAGATAATGAAAAAGTTGTTTAGATGGACAGGTTTGAAAATGAAGTTTTCCTTGCCCAGATAGCTCAGCTGGTTAGAGCATTGTCCTCATACACCAAGGTTGTGGGTTTGATCCCCAGTTAGGGCACATATAAGAATCAACCAATGAATGCATAAATAAGTGGAACAGATTGATCTCCCTCCTTCTCTCAAATCAATAAATTAAGAAAAACGAGGAAATGGACATTGTTATTGACACTGGAGAAAATATTATAGATAAATCTTAAATAAAAATATAACACTGCATAAGCTGTTGAGGTTTTCCTATAATTTTAGTATCTATGTATGCAATTCCAATTAGCAAAATTGGGTAATAATCCCTTTTCCCAGGCACAATTATATACAATTATGATTTAAATTAGGCCTTCACAAATAGTTTTGTGTTTTTTTTTTTTTAATTCCTCACCTGAATATGTGATTTTATTGATTTAAGAAAGGGAGAATGCCAAAATCACTCAATTGGAAAAGGACAGTCTCATCAACTAGTGGTGCTGGTAAAACAGAATATCCAACTGACCAGGTGGCTCAGTTGGCTGGAACGCACCAAAAGGTTGTGGGTTCAATTTCTGATCAGGGCACATACCTAGGTTATATAATAGGTTTGATCTTCAGTAGGGGCATGTATGGGAGGTAACTAATGGATGTTTCTCTCTCCCCTCCCCTCTCTCTAAAAAAATTCAATGAAAAAGCATATCCTTGGGTGCAAATGAAGAAAATAAAAATTGGCCCTGGCCAGTGTGGCTCGGCTGGGCGATATCCATGCACGGAAAGACTGCTGGTTTGACTTTCAGTCAGGGCACATGCCTGGGTTTCAGACTGGATCCCTGGAAGGGGGTGTGCGGGAGGCAGTCAATGATGTTTCAATTTCATATTGATGTTTCACTCTCCCTAAAAATCCATTTTAAAATATTCAAAAAAATTTTGAGAGGAAAAAAAAATGGACAAGAGAAACATGGACAAGGTTGCCTCGCAAAAAACACACCCTGACCCCTAGGATCAAACTCACCACTTTTTGGTGCACTGGACCAACTGAGCCACCCAGCGAGGGCCACAGAGTTTTCATACAAAGCCACAACTGCTTGCCATTCCTTCAACTATCCATATTCCTGTTCAGTTCTGTGTAAAATGCCCTCCTTCTCTGCCAGTGGAATCTACCAGGAACCCTTTAAAGCTCCAGTGATAGCTCCCGGCTAACCCTCAATCCCTCTTTTTCTACTCTGTCTCTTAAAACTATTTGTTCATTCTTCTTTATTCAGGGCTTACTAATGTGCCAGCACTTTACATATTTTGTTTAATGCTCAAAACTCCTCTTTGAGATATTATCATCCTCACTGAACAGATAAGGAAACTGAAGCTAAAAAAAGGTTTGGTGTCTTGTTTAGGGTCACAAAGCCAGATAGGAATTCAAATGCTGATCTGTCTCAACTTTAACTGCATTCTCTTTCCAAGAAACCAGGCTTCACAGCAATTTCTTACAGAATGTAGCATCATCATTTGTTCAAATACCTATCTCTCCCACTAAACAAAATTCCTCAAAGTCAGGGAAAGGTGACTATCCTTATATCCCCAGCAACACCCAACAGGGCCTATTGTACAATGACCTTAAAGTATTAATGAATATCTACAATACTCTTATTCAGGTTATGGTGTGCAGCATTGTTTGCCACTAGTCTCCTTCTACCGAGTCTCTAAGAAGCCATGTTTACTGTGGTGGTAAAGCATCACGTAGGCTTCGTAAGCACATTGCTTAGATGTGACTCACACCTCCACCAACTTATTAGCTAAGAAACCTTGAACAAGGAAGTTCATCTATGTTTTGGACAATTCATTTATAAAAAGGGAGTAATGCAGAACTTACAACATAAGATTATAGGATTAAGTGAGATAACATATAAGCAATCCAACTACTTTTTGATCCCCATTTTTTTTTTTAGCATGCCACCCTGAATTTTATTAGCCTCAGTCTAGTAAATTTTTTTTTTTTTAATCACAACTTCTTTGCAATTTTACATGAAATGGATTAGCCAAAAAGGTTCATGGTTTTTTGCCAAAACCGGTTTGGCTCAGTGGATAGAGCGTTGGCCTGTGGATTCAAAGGTCCAGGGTTTGATTCCGGTCAAGGGCATGTACCTTGGTTGCAGGCACATCCCCAGGAGGGGGTGTGCCAAGAGGCAACTGGTAGATGTTTCTCTCTCATTGATGTTTCTAACTCTCTATCCCTCTTCTCTTCCTCTTTGTAAAAAAATCAATAATATATATATATATATATATATATATATTTTTTTTTTTTTTTTTTAAAAGTTCATGGTTTTAAAATTGCTTAGGCCTGCGGTCAGAAAACTGTGGCTCTTTGGCCCCTTGAATGTGGCTCTTCCATAAAATACCACGGCCTGGGCGAGTCTATTTTGATGAAGTGGCATTAGAAGTTTAAGTTTAAAAAATTTGGCTCTCAAAAGAAATTTCAATCGTCGTACTGTCGATATTTGGCTTTGTTGACTAATGTGTTTGCCGACCACTGGCTTAGGCCATCTGCTGGATTCTTAGGACTCTCAAGTTTGCTCTTGGAGGCTTGACTATGCAGGAGTGCTGCCCTTGGACTCTATAGCTCATTTGCTTACCACGTTTTTATGCCCTCGCAGAGAGTGGTGAAAATGAGAACACAGAGACTTCCTCCGTTCCTAACTCCTCCCTTCTACTATGCTGACAGCTAGCCTGTTTGAGAGGCACGCTATTTCCCCCGCGAGACATTTTCCTGTAAACAGCTTGTGTCTGGTCTCAGGCATGGCTCATTCTCCCCAAAACTACATTCCTTCGAGACACTGAGCCACTTCAACTAACAGTGGATACCCATTTCCTTCTCCTAGCAACCCTTACCCCAAAAAGTTAGCGTTTTAAATGGTTATGCTATTTTAAGGCTCCCTAGGCTAAAGTACATAGTTTCCAAATTCTCAGAATTCCCCTTTCCAACTTAAAAAAAAAAAAAAAATGTTATGAGCAAGTCCAGTTTGGGAGAAAACAAGAGCAAATACTAAGGCTACAGTTAAAGTATGGGGGGGAGGGGGTGTAAAATCCCAAGATGTCTAGTGGGCTAAAGCTAAGCAAAAATATAAAATCCAAGTATCACAAGTAAACCCCCCCCCATTTTTTTTTCAAAGTAAGCAAGATATACCATTAACAAAAGGATCAAGTGTACATTACCAAACATTTAATGCATTCACAATGGATTTAAAAAATTACGACTTGGTATGCAGACACTTCCATTAATAAATTGTTCCACATTCTGTACTTCCCTAGTCAGTATATATTGATATAAAGCAGTTCCTTTTTTTTTTTTTTCTTTTCTTTTCTTTTCTTGCCAGGCTAAAAATAAAATGGGTGATAGGCCAGTGGCAGAATGAACCCCTACATGACACAGGAGGTTCTGCGTTGGGAAAAGCCAGGGCTTGACCAGACAATAGCAGAAACACGGGCTGTCAGCATGCAGCAGGCAGATAAGAAGAAGAAAAAGACGAAGAAGACGCGGCAGGAAACATCCCTCAAGGCCAGCGCGAAGGACGGGAACTCCGCTGGACAGAGCGCTGCAGCCCGCACACCAACCACGCCGCTGCCTGCTCTGCGGGCGCGGGCAGCGACCTCCCTCCCGGCAGCCGCTCCCCCCATCCCGCTCCCCCATCCCGCTCCCCGGCCGCCGGGCTCGGCCCCCGGCGCCCTGCACGCCCTCCCGCACCCGCCGCAGCCCCGGCCCCGCGCGAGGGGAAGGAACCAAAGGAGGGAGAAAGGCCGCGGGAGGGAGAGAAGGCGGCGCTGGGCTTCGGCCCCATCCAGCGGGATCCAGGGGGATCCAAGCCGGCGATGGCTCGGGAGGAGGGCGGCGGAGCCTCGACCACCCGCCAAGAGGGTGGCACGAGGCCGCGGCGGAGCCCGGCGCGCAGGTGCCCGCGGCCGCTGGGCAAGTCGCCGGCGGCAGGGGACGATGCGTTGGCCCGGGAGCCCCCCACCTCCATCCCGCCCGCGGCTCGCCTCGCCGGTGCCGCTCCATCCTCGGGATTCGGTCAGAACCCAACGACCTACACACGCGGCGCCTGCCCAAGCGCGAAGGGGATGCCCGACCTCACCTTAGGAGCGGGCGCCACGCCGCTAGGAGGCAGCTGGGGGTGCAGGGAGACGCCGAGGCGAGCACCACCGCCGCCGCCGCCGCCGCCGCCGCGGGAGACCTAGGACTCGCAAGGAGGCTGCCTGCGGGCGCGCTGCCTCCACGGCCTTCGCCCCACCCCCTTTCCCCGCAGGATTTTGCGCCGGAGCTTGCAGTCTCCGCGCGCGCTGGCCCGGAGGGCGACGGGAGGGGCGGAGCGCTCCCGCGGGGGCGTATCCGAGCGCTGGTTCGTTTGATTGGCACCTACCTGTCCAATAGGGGCTACGAACACGCCAACCTGCACTTTGACAGACTTTCCTTCTATCCAGTAGTAATAGGGAGGCGGGGCAAGTGGGTGTGTCTTTTCGTTGCCGCCCTTCTGGCGAACCGGAACGTAAGGAAAGATCGGTTGGTTTGCACTGGCGGCCAAACGGTCCAATGAGCGCAGGCAGAGGGGCCTCTGGACGCAGATTGGCGTCCTCTCTAACCTATAGGGAGCCTCCAGGGGCGGTGAGAGCCGGCCCCGGATGTGGGCGCGGCCCCGAGCTAGAAGTGAGAAACCGTCTACCGCGGTGGTTTGGAGAGCGGAACTGGGATCTCTTTCTTGGTTATCATGTGACGGGTCCTGGATTTAATGGGGGGAAAAGTGTGGAATAGGCCAAGGATCCACACCTGGCGAATCCCCAGATCTTCGCGTCCCTCTTCGGTCTCCGGCCGGCGGCGCAGCCAGGTGAGTCTGGGGCTCCGACGCGCTGACGTCCTGCCCGGGCCTCCAGATGCCAGCGCGGGCCGTGCCTGCGTCCCACGCCCCCGCCGTCTCCCCTTCACACCCCCAGCCCCCCCCCCACAGGAATGTGCTTGGCACCAGGCTTCTGTGTGCATGGTGGATCCCGTCCTGCAAGAACCGCGTTCCACTCCATAATGCACACTACTTGGGCCCCAGCAAAACGGGGGGCGGGGGCTAGAGTCTGGATGGGACCCTCGCCCTTGGAAGACGGAGGACAAGGGTCACTTAGGAACGTCCTGCAGTGTTAGGCACAAGGAGGCGCGAAAAGCAGATCCGTTGGTAAGCAGACCGCTGTTCCTTGGAAGGATGGTTACGTTGGCCAAGACGGTAGCAGCCAGGCCTTTCGAAAGCCGAAAGCGGCTCATTAGTTAAAAGAGTTCTGTGTTGTGGGCTCATTAAGCAAGACTGCCTCTGGCATAAGGCAAGCCCACTTGGAAGAGGAAAGGCAGGAGCGAGAGAAGGGAAATGGGGGTGTGGGAAGCACCATGGACAACAAATGAGACCACACACAACGGACACCGAGACACGAGCTGTGGGCAGGGCGCTTTATTTTTCCATTGTGGGCGAGGTGCGGGGGGGGGGGGTGGGAGGACACAAAGTTTTAATAGATAAGGAAGCATGTGAACTAATAATACTTAACTCTCTTCAAGGTGCCAGGAATACCTACCTCAAATGGTAAATATTTAAGTTGAGCAAATTTTTGTTTTGGAATATTCAGACCCCTCCCTTTGAGGAGAAAGAAGAGTAGTAGGATACAAATACGACTGCCTGGACTAATAATTTATTAATAAGTTAATAAAATTGGGGTCGTATTAATCATTGTAGCTCAGCGAACACAATCCTTCAATCCTTCAAGAATCATTTAAATATCAGCAGAGTGCCTCCCGGTTGAGGACATTTTTAGTACAAGTACATACAGAACTTCGTTGCATCCCACATTGTAAAACTTGCAGCCACAAGACTTTGCATCCTCTCCACCTTCCATCTTAACGTACCTGTATTGAGTGCAGGTTCCCTTCTTATGACTAGTTGCTGCTACTCAGTCCTATATGGAAAAGAAAAAAAAATGAAGCCTGACTCATCAGATGGAAAAGTTACATGTAAGCAACTATATTACCATGGACTTTTGAAAGGTTCACAAAATGGCCAGATAGATTAGAGATCAGGATTGAGCAAACTTTAATAAACTCTATCCAATAGTTATCAATCAATACATAACCTCCACCTTTTCATCCAAGTTCAGTCTCACATCCCACTGTGACATCCTTTGGTCAGGAAAGGAGACCAGCACAGAAGAGAAAAAGCATCTGCTTTTCACACTGCAGTATGAAGCACCTGCCAGCTAAATAAACAAGCTGAGTGCAAGCAGATGGGTATAGGGAGAGGAAGGGCACTTAGGTAACTCCTAAGTACTAATGAGATAAATGGAGTAGAGATACAGCAAAAAACATCAAAGTTCTAAAATATAATTTACTAAACACACTAGCCTAGGGCGTTTGATTCATCTAGCCAGTTTCTTCACCTTTTCCTTGTTTTGCTTATCTGCATTTTTACTCTTACTACCTATGCTGTTGTTACCATCACAACCACCATCTGATCTTTTCCTCTTCCCTTCAGGTATCTATCCTCTCTCGTGTTCAATCTCTCTCTCCCCAGTGGGTTCATACTCATACTTAGATTTCTCCTTTACTGAAAATTTCTTCTCGAATCTCAGTCTCATATGTCTTACCTTTCATCTTCTCCAAATGTTTCAAGGGGAAGTAATATGTTGTCAGCTGGTATTATCTTCTGTTGACTCCTTATCCACTGCATGCCGTCTGTCTTCTGATTTCCCATTCTACTTACCTTTTTTCCAAATGGTCACAAGACTGATATAAAAAAAACTCAAATATATATATAGAGCATACTGTAAACCTATGTGAAGATTAAATACTTAAATATAAGTATTATAGATCAATGGCCTCCCAATCAAAATTCCAAGCTTTTAAGAATTAGTGAAAAAATGAAAGGACTAAAAATAGTAGAAAGTATTCCAGAAAACAGTGAGTAGGTACTAGGACTTCCAGATATTAGAAGGTATCTTAGTATTAATGCAAAACAAATATAGAACAGTAAGTCAGAATAAGGATGTAAGAAAAACCCCAATTGTTGAATAATTTAGCATCTAATAATTATAAAATGTCAAATTTTAAGTGATAGTTATTGAAAAGTAGTGAGAAAGTATCACCTATATCACAAAGCAAAAAAAAATTAGACTAAAATAGGTATCTATAAGAATTTAAATGAGAACATTTAAAAATATAAGACCTATAGATTAAACTGTGTGAAAATAATTTTATCTATGTGTTCTGTATTATTTACCCCAATGATGTATTTATAATCTTAATTATACTTAATGTCTTAATTTTTATTAACCATTCCTTTCTTACTCTTTTTTTCCCACTGCTTTGGTTTTGGATGCTTTTTCTTAGTACTCCTTGAAATTGAATGAAAATTTCTAAGTGTGCAGATGTTAAGAACAAGCTAAGAACATCTCTAAGGTGTAGGAATCATGTAATGAGTGCCTGGACTTGAGTGATAGCAATGAAAAGCAACAGGCTTTCTTGAGGCATATTGAATAGCTTATATCCAGGGGGTATACTAAATATTCTCCTGGGCTAAAAGAATAATGGATATAATGTTGTCAAAGATAGCTACAAATTTTATAGGTTTTGAAAGGAAGAATGATAGAATGTTTTCAAAATTGGGAAATCTGTGAGTGGGAAAGATGCAGCTTTGTTCACCAGAATTGGAAGTGATTTTTCTGGTATCAAAACCATCTTGACTCTCTTTCCTTCTCTTAGGGTGTATTTCCCATTTTTCGACGCTGCAACAGCCTCTTTAAAGTGTTTAAATGAGAATGTCCTTGGCTCAGAGAGTACTGCTCACCTGGCTTTTCACATTACTCTTCTTGATCATGTTGGTGTTGAAACTGGATGAGAAGGCACCTTGGAACTGGTTCCTTATATTTATTCCAGTCTGGATATTTGATACTATTCTTCTGGTTATGCTGATTGTGAAAATGGCTGGGCGATGTAAGTCTGGCTTTGACCCTCGACATGGATCACACAGTATTAAAAAAAAAACCTGGTACCTCATTGCAATGTTACTTAAATTAGCCTTCTGCCTTGCACTCTGTGCTAAACTGGAACAGTTTACTACCATGAATCTGTCCTATGTCTTCATTCCTTTGTGGACCCTACTGGCTGGGGCTTTGATAGAGCTTGGCTATAACGTCTTTTTTGTGAGAGACTGACTTCTAAGGACATCGTCTTATTGCTGTTCAACAAGCTGTCATTAAAGCGTTCTGAATCTTTGCAAGCTTGAAGAATACCGAGGAAAATACCAAATGTAGTTTTATACTGCTTCCATAAAATAGTCTTGGTAAATCATGGACTTCCAGCCAATCCAAAGCTTAATTATTCAATATTTGAGTTGTTAATATCTTTATTATCTCTATTTAAATAAAGTTTGTTTTGGACCTTATATTTCTACTTGACTTTTAAATCTGTTGTAGGGATGGATCAATATTCAAAGTAAATATAAGCCTTCTAACTTATATATTTGGGGAGAAGTTTAATATATCATAGCCCCATTACAATTAATGTAAAGGTCATTTGTGCCTCTAAAAAATGAAGGGGAAAAAATTAGTTACTGAAATAATTAGAGGGTGCTACTTCATGTTTCCATTAGAAAGAACTGGAGAGTTTGACAGATTTTTGTCTAGGCAAAGAACTTTGTTACCTCTACCTTTTGTTTAGGACAGAAGCAGAAACTTGCCAGACAGGAGGATTTTGTAGTTCAGTAAAAACTATACATGCATGTATTATCAAAATGTAATCTCTTACAGGGAAAAGGAAAAGAAGGGATAGCCCACATGCAAACAGTTGGCCCAGGAGTCAGCAAAATTTTTCTGTGAAGGGTTATCTATTAAATACTTTAAGCTTTCCGTTGCAACTACTCAACTCAGGTTTTATGTCAAGAAAGCAGCCATAGACCATGGCAACAAATTTCATATAATTTCCACATTTGACAAAATATTCTTTTGATTTTTTGTTTCAATCATTTAAAACTCACAGTCCATACAAAAAAAAAATAAAAAAGATGACCTGTGGGCATTTGCTGACCTCTGAACCAGGTCATAAAACAAAAGTAGATAGCTGAAAGGAAAGGAAGAAGAGATTTCTGAGGAAATTGGATAAGAATTGTATGTAAAAGCAACATCATAAGTGTATTCTTACTTAATTTGGTATACTGCCACACTAAATAAACAACTTAACGCAGCATAAGTTATCAATGTGTGCCGCTCCAGTTCTGACACCAATTCAGGTATGTGGTTTCCCACCACCACCAAAGAACTAATTCTGACACTACCTGGAGATGGCATCACATTTACAGGTTAAGGGTTCAGTCCCAGAAGACTAATCCTCAAACTTCAGTGGCTCAGTTGGGTTGGAGCGTTCTGTCATACACCAAAAGTTTAGATTCCCAGTCAGTACACATACCGTATCCAGGTTGTGGGTTCAGTCCTGACAGGATACATGCAGGAGGCATGTTTCAAGTCTCATTGATGTTTCTCTCCCTCTCCCCTCCTTTCTAGAATCAATAAAACAAAACCAAAAATAACCAGAAGCCAATCCAACATCCAGGTTGTGCTTACTGGCTATTCTAGTAATTGGAGGTGTCCAGGACCCCTTCTTCAAGTTAAATTAGTTCACAGAACTAAGAGAAACATTTTACTCACTAGATTACCAGTTTATTATAAAAGGTCATAGCTCAGGAGCAGCTACATGGAAGAGATGCATGGGGCAAAGTATAGGGAAGGGGCACGGCTTGCCTGCTCTCTAGGTTATCACTCTTCCTCTATCTGTTCACCAACTTGGAAGCTCTCTAAATCTGGTCCTTTCGGGAATTTATGGCGGCTTGGTAACAGTCATTAGTTACATCATCCACCATTGGTTATTGAACCCAACTCCAATCCCTCTACCCTGGGGAGGTGAAGGGATTACTGAAAAGTTACAATCCTTTAATTACAGGGTTGGTTCCCCTGGCAACCAGCCCCCATTCTTAGGTTACCTAAGAGTTTTCCAAGTCACCTCATTTACTCAAAAGACATTTTTATCACACTTATCACTAGGAAATTCCAGTGCATTAAATTCCTGTTCCAGATATATATTTTTAATGTTTTTTTTTAAATTAATTTTTTAGAGAGAGAGGGAGAGGGATAAAAGCGTTTATGAGAAACATCATCGATTGGATGCATCTTGCAAGCCTGTACTGGGGATTCAGTCCTGAGCAGGGATCGAACCTTGATGGCTTGGTTTCTGGGTCAACACTCAGCCACTGAGCCACACCGACTGGACCAGCTATATTTCTTATTAGAAACCACAAGTTCACAGCCTTAGTAATTAAGTGCTGAAAGACATAAAAGATAGATATTGCCCAGCCGGTGTTGCTCAGTGGTTGAGTATCTCTCTAGGCCTTATGGCTTCTGTTGAAGACAGAGAAACAAGAACTTTTAGACGAGATGAAAATAAAAATCAAATGTAAAAAAAAAATTACAAAAGCAAAGGTAAAAAGATTATGGTTATCAATTTTAATATTTATTGAAAGGTGGAAGACAAGGAAAATCCTCTCAAACTCCAAAAATAAATCTTGCGTCTATGCTAAATGTAAAATGAATTTTGAGTTACTTGCATTACATGACAATTAACGTGTAAAAAAAACAAAAACAAAAAAAACTGAATGCAATTTACCAAGCTAGTGCTAACCTATTATTTACAAAAATGATCTCACCTGCCATGTGTGTTTGAGGGGAAAAAAACTGTTACACTTGGGAATACTAATGAAATACTTTGAAGATTTAACCCAAGAAATAAAATATTTCCTGCCTTCCAAGATCCACCACCCAAAGTTATAGAGTGAACTAAAAATGAATACATGTGGAAGCAAACATAAGTATTTCCAATAATCTTATACACATGCACACACATACATAGAATGTGCTAGATTAACCTAATCTTTATTGAAGGTCAACAGCCCTAGTGAAAGAAAGATCATGAATATGGCTTTTGTAAAGTTTTCAATTAATTATCACAAATGCTTAATTCTTTCGCTAGCTAACCAGCTGACCTGAGTATGAATATGTATTACTTAGTTAAAAGGGTGTAAACAAAAGTGATTTTTTTTAAAAAAGCACTGTCATAGATACTATGAGGTACTTTAGCTTTTTTCTAACAGTCTGTGTATCAATTTAATAATTTACATAACTGTTTATTCTATATAAGATCATATAGAAGATGTATCTTAAATGTGTTATTGTTCTGGTCCAAGAAATTTGAAGTTACAGCAAAAAAAAACATGTTTTCAGATAAAGAATTGGAATGTACTAACTAGCAAACCATCGATATACTGCAATATTGAAATAGAAATTGTGTGTAACAAAAGTAGTCAAAAAATTCTCAGATTAAATCTGAAGAGGACTTTAAAATCATAATCCATAGGACAAGGAACTTTAAGCATTATTCAATGTAACAAGGCTATATTGTGAAATCTGAATTTGAAATTGATTTATATTTCACATCCACAGAGATGTAGGTATTTTACAAAACGTTTTCAAAAGATGGAGAAGTTTGACTTTAGGCTATATAGGAAACAAAAGGAAACCACTGTTTTGTTATATATATCTTTAAAAGTTTCATTAAGGCCCAGCCAGTGTAGGTCAGTGGTTGAGCATTGACCTATGAACTAGGAGGTCTCAGTTTGATTCTTGGGCAGGGTACATGCCCGAGTTGCTGGCTAGATCCCCAGTAGGAGGTATGTAGGAGTCAGCCAATCAGTAATTCTCTCTCATCATTGATATCTATCTCCCTAACCCTTCCTCTCTGAAATCAAAAGTATATTTAAAAAAAATAAACATTTAATTAAGGCTCATATATTTTGGAGGGATACCCAAGATATTTCATTACAGTATAATCTTATATATCTATGTGTATGCTTCTGGAAAATTGGAATTTAAAATCCTGTTAAATATATTACCCTTCAATTAAAACCAGAAAAATATCCCCTATTTCTCAATACTGGTTTGTTATGAACTTTTGTCTTTCAAAATGGTGGGTGCAAATACATAAATTTAGCTTTAAGAGAAGATTAAAGTGAGGGGTAGGATAAGACAGAAAGATATATAAGTCCTTATTTACATTATCATGATTTATACCTTCCTTATTCCATGAAAATTCCTGTTGTAAATATATTGATTTCCCACAAACCATTGAGATTTCCAACAATATTTGCCTACTCTTTTCAACGAGGGGCCAGAAATGATATAATTGCTATAGTTTATATTTTTCTGATGAAATCCCTCTTTCTAAATGGCTTCTTTCTAACCAGAAAAATAAGCAGTTTTATGGGTAACACAAATGAGGCTGGGGCAGAAAGCACTAAAATGAGAATAGCAACTCTAGCCCAAATGGCAGCACGAAGAACCCCAGTTGAAACTCATCAACCAAAGTATAAGCCTAGGAAAATAACCAAGACAAATAAAATAGGTTTGTAATAAGCAGAGTTGCTGAAATCCATCACAGTCGACAATTACTTTAATAATCTTTAGCTAGGCACTGGCAATCCTGTTTCCTACCCCAATTTTACTTTTTACAACTTATTTTGAAAAAGAAATGCAGTTGACCCTTGAACATAAGTTTGAACTGCATGGATCCACTTATACACAGAATTTTGTCAACTGACCTGTGCAATTCAAAACTACGTTATTCAAGGGTCAACTGTACTCTAAGTTATTTACCTTGATAAGGTAGGCAGAGGGATCCTTAGAAAGGAGAGAGAACAGATTTTGTTAGTTACATCTCTGTATGAGTCGTGTCCTTATTTTAAGATTTTATATTTGCCATATTTTCTACCTGCTTTGCAAGAAAAATGTAAAAGGACTTCAACTGCCACAATTAAACTTTCTGTAAATATTTTTTACTCAACTACTGTTAGTTATAGCAAAGGCGCCTATTAATAAGAAAATCATCTCAACACATCATTCCATATACTACAAATAAAATTTATGTTAGGGTTATGTAATGTGGCCACAAAACTTCATTAATTAGAAGGGTTAGATATCACTAACAGACTTGTTTTGCCTAACTTTACAAAATTATTTCTGTTACCTAAACTGCTTTCTTAATGTTGAATATAAATATTTTAAAATGAATTCCTGGGAGTAGGGCTACAAAGTTTCACATATTCATCTTATTCAGCAATTTAAGAAGTTATTAAAATGATATATATATATTCCCATACATACACACACATATAAATATGCTTTCATAACTGAATCTTGGTTTAAAAAATGCTTATACAATGTGGGGATTTAAATATTCACTTGATTTGACTATGTACATTTGTACTCCTTTACCATTCTAAATGGATACACCAACAGACACATGATTAAATAAATGATTTAACTGAATTATCAGTTTGTCTTTTGCACACCCGACAGAAAACATATTTATTATGAACCTTTATTAAGTGGCTCACATTTCAATATAAATCACACTAAAAAAATTTTTAAAGCTATTTACACTACAGTGCTGACACATTTAAAATGAAAAAAAAAAAATTGATATAAATAAGCTCTATGGAAAAGCCTTAAATTGTTGAAAAAGAATTCTGGCTCATATTACAAAATATATATATTTATATATGTTAATGTCAGCTCTATTCTAAAATCTACAGCTCCAACACAAATGACGTTTTAAGGACTCCATTTGTTTAAACCTGCAATGTTTACAGTGCATCTGGCCCTAAGTGCTTGGATACTTCACAGTTATGGACAGGCACTGAGGAATGTTACAAAGCTACATAAACTATATTTTGTAACAGACTTGAGAGCAAGTCCTTGGCTTGCTTTCATAATTCATGAATCTTTATTACATTATTAAGTTGTTTTTAAAAAAGATTTTAAATGGTATGTACATCTTTAGCACAAAATGTCATCATCTTTTCTATTTTGATGTGAATGTACTGAACTATGTTGCCTTGCATGAACTAGACTTAAGAGATTTTCAGGGCACAATTCCTCCTTTAAATCTTTGTTGCTATTTTCAAATTTGGAGTCCACTTCAATCTTAAATTCTGTAAATTGAACATGATCCAATTTTGTTTTAACATTCTTGCCATCCATATTATTCGGTGTTCTAGTTTCTTCAGAAACATAAACATTCACAGATTCTTCATTGATTCTTACAGATGCAACAGGTTCATGTTTAATCTGCTGTGCTTCATATTTAGAATGAAGTGTGTCTGAAAAAATAGAATCCAAAGAGGTTTTGCTTACAGCACAAATCCTATTATCACTGTGAGGTCCAAGAACTGATGATGTAGAACCTGGTGATGTGCCTGTTTCATGAGTATCTGTATTGTGAGCAGTGTCCTCCTCCGAGTGATATAACTTGAGCCGAACGTGCCATGCTAAACTACATACAGCTGACACTGTCTTGAACTGATGAACAACATTCCTTGGAATAAAATAAATGTCATTATCATACAGCTGAATCCTGGCATATCGAATGCCTTCTCTCCTCAGTTGATTAAGTTTTGCATCATCAACCCACTGGACACACTAAAAAAAGAAACAAGAAATAGCAATAAGTTTTTTTCACAATAAAAATTCAACAGAAGACAATAATGGTTTAAAATATACCTGGGATAATGGAGGTTCATGTAAATCTAGCTGCATTCGTTGAACTACTTCTAAGAAATCTTCAGCATGAAAACAAATGACATCTTTGGTTATTCTGGGTTGATTAAGCCTAAAAAAAGAATATAAAATAAGGAAAAATGTGCCATTAATGTTTCATTCTGTTAAGACCTTATTAAATTCAAATTAAAAATAGTTTTCACAGTCAAAACCAAATTACTGCTTTAGAAATAAAGTTAAATTATAATTAGCAGACCACTTTACATATTTAAACAAAGGGATAATACCATGGGTTTCAACCTAAAATAGGTAAAACAAAACAAAACACTCACCTCATTTAATTATAGCTATGTGTAACCACAGTTTGAAAAATTAAAACGATCTGAACTGGTTAATTATGTAAATAAAAACTAAGTATTTTGTCTTAAAGTTAAGGTTAATATTTCAACCTTAGAAATATTAGTAATTATTCAAATTGAGAGATCTGAAAATAATATAAAAAAGTTAGAGTTAATTATATTTGGATTCTATTTTTTCAAACACACTTCATTCTAAATATGAAGTACATTATTATTTCAACCTTAGTAATATATTCAAATTGAGAGAGCTAGAAATAATATATAAAAATTAGAGTTAAATATGGGGGAAGAGAATATTTTCTTTCAATAAAACATACATAACTATAATGATACTTAAAACCCCTAAATGACTCTTAATAAAAAGACTAATAAGCTGTTACCACTCTATTTTCTTTTAATATCTATCCATCTACCTACCTACCTATCATTCATTTCACCTGAGGATGTTTTTCCATTGATATTTAGAGTGGAGGGAAGAGACAGAGAGAGCAACATCAATGTGAGAGACACATGGTTTGGTTGCTTCTGCATACACCCCAATCAGGACTGGGGATCGAGTCTGCAACCAAGATATGTGCCCTTGACCAGAATGGGACCCTTCAGTCCGAGGGTGACACTCTATCCACTGAGCCAAACTGATTAGGGCTATCTGCTTGTCTTTAAATATAACCCTAGAAAAATGCCCAAATTCTTTAACTAATTGGGATTGTACAATACATCTTCACAAAAAATAAATAAATAAATAAATAAATAAATAAATACTGAGGGGAAATTTTTTTTTGATGAAATTACAAGCAACAAAAAATTATACCAAGCAAATTACAATTTAAAAAAATAGTGATAAAGAGAAAATAAAAAACTCATGCATCACGATATATTAAGAAAGAAGGATGAGGATGATTGCAGGCTTCTCATCAAAGACAATGCACACCAGAAGACAACAGACTATCTTAAATATTTAAAGAAAATGTCAATCTAGAATTCTATAGCTATCAACAATATCTTTCAAAATGTGAAATAAAAGCATTTTCAGACAAACAAAAGCTGAAAGAATCTGTCACCAGAAGATCAGCTCAACAGAAAATGTTAAAGGAATTTTTTTCAGACTGAAGAAAAACGATACTTAAATGAAAATATAAATCTATTCAAAGGAATGTATTGCACAATAGTAAATATAAAAGGTATTTTATTCTCATTTTTAAAATCTCTTTGGGGATGTTTCCTTATAGCTAAAGTAGTATATTGGGGGTTTACAGCATATGTAAAGTACAAACGTATGACAATAATTAGCAAAATGTCCAGAAACTGGGGGAGGGGGGTTAATAAGTGGCAGTATGCTATTGAAAGGTTCTTAACACATTATTAATACATAAAGAGGTATATATTTGAAGCTAGATTCTGGTAATTTAGAGCAACCAATAATAAGCAAATAATGAAGGTATAAGGAATGCTAAAAAAATATAAGAAGGGGGAAAGGAATAAAAAATAAGAAGCAAATGAGAAAAAGATGATAAATTTAAATCTAAATTTACTGATACATTATATGTAAATGATCTAAATACTCTAATTAAAAGAGGGTTTATCACTGAATTTTTTAAAAAGCAAGTTATATGGTATCTACATGAAACAATATAGATACATAAATGAAAAGATAAAGCATGGACAAAGACTAATCATGAGAAAGCTAGACTGGATGTATTAACATCAGACAAAGTAGATTTCATGACAAGGAATATGACCAAGGATAAAAAAGGATAGTTTGTAATGATAAAGAGGTCAATTTGAAAATAAATAATAATTCTAAATGTATAGTCATCTATTACCAGAGCTTCAAAATGTATAAACCTTGAAAACAAAGTGTTCTATTATCTTGGTTGTGGTAGTGGTAACATGCCTATATACATTCGTCAAGTGTATATCAAACTCTATATTTAAAGTAAACTCTATATTCAACTATTATAGAAGCCCAATGCATGAAAACTCGTGCAAGTGTTCCTTCCCCCGGCTGCGGCACTGGCTTCCCTCTGGCCGCTGGCAAGGCACCGGGACCCCAGTGGCTTCCCTCCAGCCCCGGCTTCGTCCCAAAGGACATCTAAACTAATTAGCATATTAACCTTTTATTATTATAGATGGTTAGTTTTTTAAAAAATTGAATTTCGAAGAAGCAACCTCAAATATATAAATCTACCAGGTGGCCAGGAAATATGGCTCAGAACATCAACTTATGAACCAGGTCGTCACGGTTGGATTCCAGGTCAGGACATAAGCCAAGATTGCAGGCTTGATCCCAAGTTTGGGGTGTGCAGGAGGCAGCCAATAATTGATTTTCTCTCATCATTGATTTTCTATCTCTCCCTCTCTGAAATCAATAAAAATATATTTTTAAAAAATTAATCTACAGGGTGGAACAAATTAAGTTTATAGGTATAAGTACACAACAGAGTTTATTCTTGTATTACCATTTTTTATTAATTACTGAATTACTTTCCATTTGAACTGAAAAACTACTTTTGCTCCACCCTGTATATGAATCCTTCATAATACCTAAAGAGTGGTATAATTTGATCAATACTTCATAAGCCTATCTAGCTGATGATTTCCATAAAGTCGAAATCAATACTGGTCTTTTATTTCAAATTGGTATTAAGCCTGGCTCTAAGATAAAGTCAAGAATCTGAGACTAATACCTCATGTCTTCTTGAGAAAAAGAGCAGAATTCAAAATACTAAGGGGAAAAAAGTTAGTACCAACTTCCTTAATACAGTTTAATTCAACACCAAGGAATCATAAAGGGATCATAAGCCATGTTTGCATCATAGCCAAGAAGCCCTCTTATAATACCAACAAAGTTATTTTCTTGCAATCTTTAATATAGGAAGCAAACTGTATTTTACAATAGTGGAAAAATTCAAAGCTAGCAATATCTCATTCCAAAATCTGTCTCAAGCATATTCTCAAATCTGGCCAACTAACTTAGTATAGTAGTTTGGCAATAGTCCTCATACTATGAAACTGCTAGCCACAAAAGTTTTTTTTTATTCAATAGATAGTTATTGGGAACTATGATAGGCCCATGAAGGATAGTATACAATCCCTAACCTCAAATCAAATACATAGTGGAGGAGAAAGTATATACCAACAATAACTTAAAGAAGCTTAAAAAAGATTTTAACAAAGTATTAAGGCCATGAAGCAGGAATATTTATCTTGAAAGAAGGTGTAAATATGGCCGAAACCGGTTTGGCTCAGTGGATGGAGTGTCGGTCTGCGGACTGAAGGGTCCCGGGTTCGAGTCTGATCAGGGGCATGTACATTGGTTGTGGGCACATCCCAGATAGGGTGTGTGTGTAGGAGGCAGCTGGTCGATGTTTCTCTCTCATCGACTTTTCTAGCTCTCTATCCCTCTCCCTTCCTCTCTATAAAAAAATCAATAAAATATATATTTTTTAAAAAGTGTAAATATGTAGCTAACTTTACTGAACATTCTAGATTTTACTCTAAATAATTCTTGATGCCATTCTTAAATCTTTTTTACCAAACATTCAAGAGAAATTTCATTAATTTGAAATAGGCGTTTGTAAAGATTTCCAGATTACATGAAGAGCATAGAAGCTATAAGGAAATAATCACAAATACTTGAAAATTAACATTTAAGTTAAACACAATTCAATTATTATTGGAATATTAACTATTAATACTGTTTTCTTAAGGATCTCGTAGGATTAGTTCAGTACTAGTTACTTTGTTGAGAAAATAGCATATTCCAATTTAGATTTCATACCTACCGTGTTTCCCCGAAAATAAGACATCATCTGAAGATAAGACCTAGCACAACTTTGGGAGAAAAAATTAATATAAGACACTGTCTTATTTTCGGGGAAACAGGGTAAACAGAACTGTTTGAAAAAAACTTAAGAGAGCAAACGTATCTTACAATATCAATATAGCTTTGCTTTATGTGTTTTTTTTTAATCAGTAAATGGAAATTTTCTTAATTATGGAATGATACCTTAAGTATATTACAGACATCCATTTTTTAAAAAATAATCTATAGAAAGGTTCAAAGTGAAAGTTGTAAAAATTATTACTATTCTAAACCTTAGCAGGGAGCAGTAAGGTAGAATAGTATAAAGAGAAAACATAAGAGTCTGGAGTCAAGCTGAAACTGGTTTGGCTCAGTGGATAGAGCGTCGGCTTGCGGACTCAAGGGTCCCAGGTTCGATTCCAGTCAAGAGCATGTACCTTGGTTGCGGACGCATCCCCAGTAGGGGGTGTGCAAGAGGCAGCTGATCAATGTTTCTAACTCTCTGTCCCTCTCTCTTCCTCTCTATAAAAAAACAATAAAAAATAAATAAAAAAAGAGTGTGGAGTCAGATCTGAAATCAGTCTCAGATCTACCATTTATTAACTATATAACGATGATAATTTTATTTGACAGCCCTCAGCCTCAGTTTCCTTGTATGATCAATATAAGCCTAAAAGTAGCTGATAAAAATCAAATGAACATTTGTAAATAGGCATATAGTCAGCACTAAATGAATCTTAGTTTTAACTGTTTTCACCTATAGTTATTTGGAAAAAAATTACTTCAGTCAAACCCAAAAGACTAAATAAAACTAGGTTCTAGTCATTGAAAATCTTTTTCAGTGCAGTTACAGTATCCAACTATAGGGAAAATAAAATTTCCCTCTCACAGAAAGGAGAATGATCGAGAAACTTCCCAAGAAAACATTTCATTAAAATAGTAGTTAATATATATACCACTCTCCACAGTGCACAGCCTTCAACACTCCAACTGCAGCCGTAGTCTTTCGTTCAAAACCTTGTCCTATATGATCTGCATGAGCTCTTGTCCTGTCTTCAAAGAGCATCTCCCGGGGCTCACTAGTTCGAGGTAGGTACTGCAGGTTTTTTATTTCATTGGTAGTTCTGTTTAAAAAAAAAAAAAAAAAATTACACTTATATTTTATATAGACGGGGGTAGGCTTATGTGTTAAGGATTAATTGCCCTCAAATATTTGTATTGATGTACCCTGTTTCCCCGAAAATAAGACAGTTGTCATATTTATCCCAAAAGTTGCTCTAGGTCTTATTTTCAGAGGATGTCTTATTTAAAGGGAAACACCGTACTAGGGCTTAACTGCCAACAAGAATTGAGTAATCACATAATTCAGTGAAACTTCATCTGCTCCAAAATCAAGTTTTATTTTTCAAATGAATACTTACAGACAAGAACACATATATAATCCACTCTTTTTCTTAACACACCCTTCATAAGTGAAAGTTCTTTTTATTTGTTTTTATTCCTCACCTAAGGATATGTTTTTATTGATTTTGAGAGAGAGGGAGGAATGGAGAGGAAAGTAAAGGAGAGGGAAACAGTGATGTGAGAGAGAAACATCAATCAGTTGCCTCCTGTACAGGCTCCTGAGATCAAACCCGCAACCTAGGTATGTGCCTTGACTGGCAATCGAACTCACAACCTTTTGGTGTACCAGACAATGCTCCAACTAATTGGACCCTTCGGCCAGAGCCATAAGTGGAAGTTTCAAGGCAACATAAGCTTAGATAAGACACTAAATTACAGATGGTGTGGTATATCCAGGTTTCCCTGAAGTTTGGGTCTAACCTGAGGAAGCATGCTCCCAAACAGGGCATGTGGCTAACATAATGTATATATCTGGAACAAGGAGGTAACTTTAAAAAATGCATTAATATTTGTAGAATACCTATGATATGTCAGGTATTACCTGGGCACTGAAGCTAGTGAACAAGACAACAGTGAATAAAATAAGTTCCCTACTCTGGTAGAAGTTCATATCCTAGTGAAAGGAAAACAAATAAGTATCAAGAAAACAACAAGCATACAAGTGGCTTCCATAAAACACGCATGGCTTATTGGGGACAGAAAGGAATCCCTTAGCTCCTTCTTACATTGGCCCTCTTCTCTACTGCTCACACTTAGAATCTGCATGCACACAAGCGACTGACTACTTAGCCTCACTCACTGTAAAAGCCCTCTCAAATTTTGCAGTAGAAGAGGAAAAGACTGAGAAGAATTTCTTTGATTGGGAATCATTGTCTTACTTATTTTTCTGTATGGTTTGTTACTTCCAAAAACAAATACAGATTGTCCCATAATTTTTTCCTCTCATCCTAGCCTATCCCTTAGGGTCTCTTCCTTATTAGTTCCCTAATTTACCATCAATCTCTACTACTTAATAACTGCTCTTTGTGCAATCCTGCATTACAATCTTTTTACATACTTACATAAACATACTGATGACTCTATAATATATTTTTTTTGCTCTTTGCAATTAATGTTCTACAGGTATCAGAAAGCTACATGATAATGTTGCTTACTGTGGAAAGTTAACAGGCTTGGGGGTAGGCTTATATGTTAAGGATTAATTGCTCTCAAATACTGCATTGATATACTAAGGCTTAACTGCCAACAAGCATTGAGTAATCACATAATTCAGAAAAAGAAAATTTTAAGTCATCTGTTCCAAAATTTCTCACTACTATTGCCATTATATGCTTTTATATTGCTAAAAAAAAAAAAAAAAAAAAAAAAAAAAAAAAGTCTCTTCTAGGCTTCAAACTTTTATTCTATTATTTTTATTTTTTACCTTGTTTAAATATCAAACTTCTTTATGAAGTAAGAGCTATGGCTTCTCCTTTTACATGGACTGCCAATTATGTCATCATTATGCATGAATAAATCTTCCCTTTCCCAATATACTTTTACCTATTTGTGTACTCTATCCTATTCTAATGATCTTTTTGAGCTTTATAGTAATTTTATTATATAACAACACAAGGACCCCTCACTTATCTTCTCTTTCTCAATTGTCTTGGCTATTTGCTGGCTTTATTTATTCTTCTTTATAAAGTTTAAAATAATTTATCCAATTCTAGAATTATTACTCCAATTGAAATGCTAAGTTTCAAAGAAATATTATGTTTATCCAATCCAAAATACAGTACTGTTTTCCATTTGTTTAGATCTTATTTTATATCCTCTATAAGATGTTTTAGTTTTCTTAATATGGGTTCTAAATATTTATTAAATTTATTCCAAATAGTTTATAATGCCTCTATTGTGAATGATATTTTTCCCATTTCTAATTACAATTTATTGCCATCTGCTTCATTTCTCAAGTCTTATTTATATTTGGTACATTTTTAAAAATTATGTCAGCATATGCAGCCATTTTTAAATTTACATTCCAGTTATGCCCTAAACCCTCCCCTCCTTCTTCCTCCAATTTTCAACACATACACACCCAAACATACACACACCCATCCCCAACAACACAAATCTGTATATCCAACATACCTTTTCCTTTTGAAAGGTGACTTTGGCATATCAGCCACAGGGATCATTTGTTCTCCTGGGCGTACCCACATGATAGGACCATCATCACTATCTTTTCGACTCTCTAATTTTAGACTAGATAGTGTCCCCCATGGCAGTGTACACTAGAGGCAAATAATTATATAAAAATGAATTATTTTCAAAATATATCTTTAACTATGCATTAAAGAATATTGCCCCCTTGAAAACCTTCATGTATACTTTTATACTTATGCCCTTGAAAGATATACCTAAACTGAATATATTCCTACATATGCACAATTTTCCATCAAAAATTCTATTCCAAACACACAAAGAGAATTATTATTTTGGAGTGATTTCCTCCCCCAACACTGTCACGGACATGATTCACTATATTCCTCATTTGTTATTCTTTCTTCTACCATATATATGTTAATAAGTTGCCAAAATAAGCAAATATTCTCCATGAGAACCTACAAAAATAAACACATACCTCTTTGATTAGTTATAATCAAAACCCAGTACAAAGAGAAAAACCAAAATTTATTTGTTTATAGTTGCTTGAAAAGATTATTGGATTGAAAAGCAGAGAAGAAAATCTTTGGGGGAAAAAAAGAGAAAAATGACAGAGTCCATGGAATGATGATAATGGCATTAAAAAAACACAAAAAACAACAACATTCATCCCATACCCCTTTTCAAAAAGGGGAGAATTGTCAAATTAAATTTCTCCAGAAGGAATGCATTTGGCTCATTTGTTTTTAATTTAAAATCTCAAAAAAATATTTAAGTAACAGTATTTTTTTAAAAAAACCATTGAAAACAAATGCAACCAAATTCCATGATATCACTAATTGGGATAAATAAAAAAGAAATAAAGTTCAATAGAATAAAAAAAAAATGAAAGGGAAATAAAAAGTACATATAAAATGTATATATAAATAGACACACACACACACACACATATTTATATACACACACAAACTAGAAAATTGAGCAAGCAGAAGTAAAAAAGAAGAGATGTTCAACAGATTAAGTGCCAGTAGTAGTGATAAACTGATTTTTTTTAAATCTTTAGTTAAAAGTATTACATATGTCCCCTTTCCTCCCATTGACCCCTTCTAGCCCATTCCTATCCCCATCCCTGCACCACCCTATTGTCTGTGATAAACTAATCTTGTCATTTTAACCTTTGAGTTACTACTAATTAAATAATCTATCTTAGATGTTTCTCTAGCTAGAAATCATTTAAAGACTTTAAAGAGACCTTAAGCTATTTATTTATTTATTTATTTATTTAAATATATCTTTCTTAATTTCAGAGAGGAAGGGAAAAGGAAAGAGAGAAACATCAATGATGAGAATCACTGATCGGCTGTCTCCTGGACATCCCCCACTGGGGATCAAGTCTGCACTGCAGGCATGTGCCCTTGACCAAATCGACCTGGTCAAGGGCACATGCTGATGCTCTGTCCACTGAATCAAACCAGTTAGGGCTAAGCTATGTATTTTAAATGCCTATTTTATGGATGAGGATAATGAAGCACAAAAATGGCTTGCCTAACAACTAGGTATAGACAGAAATGAAATGCAACCCGGACAGTGTGGCTCAGTGGTTGAGCAATGACCCATGAACCAGAGGTCACCAGTTCGATTTCTGGTCAGGGCACATGCCCCAGTTATGGACTTGGTCTCCAGTAAGGGGTGTGCAGGAGGCAGCCAATCAGTGATTCCCTCTCATCACTGATGTTTCTCTCACTCTCTCCCCTTTCCTCTCTCTCTAAAATCAATAAAAGCATATTTTAAAAAAAAGGGAGGGGGGGTTGGGTGGGGGGAGAAGAAAAATGAAAGGCACATGTACAATTTCCCAGGCCAGTTTTCCACAATGCCAAATGGCCATTCCCTTTTCCTAAGCACTTATACATCCTTCCTGTACTTCTTAAATCCCCTAATATTCAATCTATAGCTAATAAACAGATGAAACCTAATTTCCTAAAGTGGCAGTAACAGGCAAGTGTTATTTTCTGGTCCACGTCTTAGCTTTGCCATAATAATTAGTACCAAAGAAGTCATAAACATACACTACACTAGAATTTAATTTCTCATCTCTTCTTTTCCTTCCCTCCAATTCAAATAAAATAAAAAATGTTACAATTATGAAACAACCATCTGTACCACCTGTAGTGTAAAAGTAACACCTCCAATTTAGAGTGCTTGATATTATTTTTTATTCTTACCTTTAAAAACGGCGAATCTTCCAACATATCCAGGAACTCAGGGAAATAATCTCCCACTTCTTCATCAACGGCTCCTACCAAACTGATTTGTCGCATTGGGCCAGCTCTGTAAGTACCATGAGAATACGTTCTTTTTACCTGAAGGATATTGAATTAATTAAAAGTTATACATAAGATAATATTTGCTCTCACTGTGTAACACTAAATTATATTGTCCAAAAATATTAGAACATAATGTGAGGCAAGCAAAACAAAAAGCCTTTACAAACAGTAAAAAAATAATTAAATAAAATCCATCTGCACTAAATCGAGCTATTTTACCTTCCTTTACTACGTCTACACATAGCTTACAAAAACAGTTGAGATAAACGGCATAATTTTAGACAACTGAGCATAACTTCTTATAAAACATTGGTGGCCTTGAGCATGAAATTCGTGCATGGTCAGGGGAGAGGGGTGTCCCTTAGCCCAGCCTGCACCCTCTCCAATCTGGGACCCCTTGAGGGATGTCCGACTGTGCATTTAGGCCCGGATGTCCGGGCAGTCAGAAAACCCTCTCATAATCCAGGACTGCTGGCTCCCAACTGCTTGCCTGCCTGCCTGATTGCCCCTAACCACTTTCTGCCTGCCAGCCTGATCACCCCCTAACCACGCCCCTGACAGCCTGGTTGCCCCTAACTGTCTTATCCTGCCAACCTGGTCATCCCCAACTACCCTCCCTTGCAGGCTTGGTCCTTCCCAACTGTCCTCCTCTGCTGGCCATCTTGTGTTTTGGAGTGATGGTCAATTTGCATATTACTCTTTTATAGATGAGTTCATTTACTCAACAATGCCACTGTAATTATATTCAAAAATTTATATAGCTAAATTTTTCTAAATGGTTCATATTTTTTTAATCAAAATTTTCAAAAGTACATACTGTGAAAACATTACATTTAATCATCACCAGTAGTTGATTTGTCTAAAAGGCCAGAGGGAATGATCTTTCCTCCTAGAACTTATCATATTAATTAGGATCCAATTTATAATTCTAAACTCTAATGAAAAACTATTAGAGATTAAGAACCAGAGTTCTAGGTCCCAAATCTACCTTTGCTATCTACCAGCAATATGATCTTCAGAAATCACTTAAATTCCCTGAGTTTTAGTTCCACTAACTGGAACTAAATGTGCCTGCAGCGTGTTAGCCAATGGGTATTACTCAAATATCAACCAAAATAAAACAGCCTTTAGCTCAACAATTACTGGTAAATTAATTTTCACAAGTAGATTTAAATCCTAAATAGATACCTATGCCTTTTCATATGCAAGCAATAGTAAAGAAGTCTTTTTTAAGTAAAACAAAATCTATACATAAACAAATATTAAACTAAATCCCAAGTATCTTTTTCTGGATTAGCCTTTGTGGCCACATATTTAGGGAGATAAAACTGTCTTCTTTTCCTGGGTCTATCCCAGTTTTAAAAAGATAAAACAAAAACCTTACTATAACATTATTAAACTAGTAGAGGCCTGGTGCATGAAATTTGTGCATGGGTATGGTCCCTAGTCAAGGCAGATCTGTGGGGCAACTGGTGGGGTGATCGGGGGGTGTGGGAGGTCCCCACTGGCACCTGCTTTGGCTGGCCTGAGGGGGAGTTCCTGTGTTGAGTATCTGCCCCCTAGTGGTCAGTGGACATTATAGCGATCGGATGTTCTGCCATTCAGTTGACTTGCATATTAGACTTTTATTATATAGGAAAGAGAAGGGATAGACACAATAAACAATCAAAAAACAAGAATTCATTACTAACATTTAACATTCATCTTGTTAAGAGTAAATTTTCTGTGTTAAAACAATAAAAACCTGTATCATTTAGTAACCTACAAATACATTAAGCTTCTTGAGTGGTAATATTAAAGACAAATTATATGTTTTATCTTATACCTTAAGTACTTCACTATCTTTGATTTAACCAGATGTTATCTTAGGTTCAAATAATAATTTTGTTGACTAAAGAAACAGCTGACCTAGCCAGGTCCCTTCATTCAAATTACACCTCTACATTAATTTCCAAGTTTACAAATGTTTAAAAATAAAATGAAACACATCTAATACAGACCTGTATATAAAAAATTTTATCACAAAATAAAAGAACAAACTTGGTCCCCCCATGTCTATTTTGGGGTTACCCAAAAAGAGGCTATATCTTTTGAAAAAAATTTTTAAAAGTATGGTCCTATTAAAATTCATAAATATTTCAAATGATATTGGAAAAAAGTAAAATAACAGACTCTATAATCTTAAATATTGTACTTAAATCTTTATAGTTAATTCTTCTCACCTCATGGATAATACATATATATTTAAAATTCACTTACATACATAATTTGCTCAATAAAAGTACAGGTCCCTTTCCTGTCTTCACCAAATTGTGCTACAATTATAAAGTTCATTCTGTTTGTCCACTAGTGAAGCAACAGGTGAATTCCACTAGAAAGCATGGTCTTCTAAAGAACAACTATTAATACTTAGCTATCATGTTTAAAACAAAAGAGCAATTATCTTCTAAAACATTCAACGTATGACTCTGATAACCTAACAGGATGTCTACAGCCATCCCACCCAAAATGTGCTCAATCTCATCTGATTTTATAAGCTAGGTAGGGTCTGGCTTGGTTAAGTACTTGATACTCTAATAGAATTTATATATTTAAACTTAAAACTAAAATTTGAAAATTAAATAAAAGTCATCAAAATATTAGTTTGTGAAACTAATTTAAATATTAAAATACACTAATATAACTTTTAATTATATACCATTCAAAACTAAAATACTTAGTTTGTGAAACTAATTTAAATATTAAAATACATTGTAATATAACTTTTAATTATATACCATTCAAAACTTTCTAGCTTAAAAACATAATACTTCAAACATATACTAATCAGTTGGAACCAATTATTTAATATTTTAAGCATGGAAAATTACATATAACAATGCATTCAAATTCAAAAAGTATATACCTCTTAATAAAATATATAAATGGCACTTAAGCTGCTAAAACAAAATACAAAAATATATTCCACACAGTTTTCACACAAAAAGTAAATACTTTAAGTGGCAACAATTTTACTGCAATACTATATATATATAAAACAAATAAGTTTCCCCTATTACATGGAATAAAAGTAAATCTATAATATAGGAAAATTTTTACAAAGCTCAATTCTCCAAAACTCATCCATCCAACAGTTAAAATTAAAGAGAAGTGGGGTGAGGAAGGAAACAGGTAAGGTTTGAAAGACTTTCTAAAAATATATACCAACAAAGATGATGACTCTTAAAAGGGTATTCTTATTACCTATGTTTCTACATTTGGCATTATTTTACTAATCTTTAAAATAATAAAAAATACAAATTTACAAAGGGGAGGGAGGCAAGAGGCAAGCACAGCTACAGTTCCCATAGGACATCATGACAAACCCAGAGAGGAAATAAAGGATTAAGTGCATATGCTCAATAAAAAGGTTATCTTCATTAAAATCTTAGTACTTAAAATTATATGCTGTATTGTCTAGAATATATTGTCTGAAAACCTCACACCCTGATGACACTGGACATGAGCTTACTATATTTCTATTCACTTCAGTAAAAATTAAGCTACCCATCAGCTTTCTGATAGTTAAAAAATTAATCTGAAAAAATGAAAACAAGTCATTGCTTTAAAATGTATTCTGTATACTTCCTAAAAGAGAAATGTAGTTATAGAGTATACATGCATGCTCCCAATTAAGGTATAGCATTCTCAAAAGATGACACAATAAATGACAGTAATAATATTTGTATAGTACTTGCAAGCACTTAATTTAAATAGTAAGTTTATATTTAATTAGTGCTTTTTTTGAACAGATGTTTTATAGAAATCTCTCTACAGTCACTGTAACTCCCCCCCCCCAAAAAAAAACTACCACTATTATAAAACTGCTTTTTAGCTTTTCCCCTTCTATTTTTTCCTACAAATGTAATAAAGGGAAAAGAAAAAAGCAGAAAATAGGAGACTTCTTATACCCAGTGCCAGTGTGTCCATAAAAAAAAAAATCTCAGAAGTTTTAGTTAATGGGAAATGAACTATTTAATTAAATTGTTTAAACTAAAATCTTATTTATTATTTCTCATATAAAATAATCTTAAAAAACAATTTATGATTCTGAGGTTGGCTTGTTATAAAAAGAAAAAAAGAACTTTACCAAAAGGAAATATATTGCCAAATATAAATCTCTAATCTTTAATATTGCCTTCTCTTATTTAACTTATAAAAAGTGCTGCAAAAAGGGAAGAAACAAATATAGCAATTCATAATTAAAAAGCCATGAAGAATGACTCATTGAAACAATTTGTTTCCCTAAATGTGTTCCATAATGGTATCAGTCCCTGAAAAGAGGATACTAAAGTCAAATAAGTTTGGAAAAATCTTCCTATCTAGGAAGTTCACCACATACATTGGCTACTAAAATTTCTGAGAAGTCACACTAAATAAACATAACTTATTTGGCCCAGTATTACACAAATTGTTTTTACTTTAAACACTGTTTTTTTCTTAAAGTTGTTTTAGTACACTTAGCCATATCCAAAATGTTAAAAGTTACAAAGAATAATTTAATAGTGATCCACAAGTCATTCAATATTGATAACTCCCTTTCTTCCCCTATAAGTTACAGATGTTTCTAGCTCGTGTAAGCACCAATCTGATGTTTCTACCTAGTGTAAGCACCAAAAGTAGGATAGTTAATAGAGCCAAAAATTTAAGGGGCTGAAGGAAAAAGGCTGTTGGTTCAATGTCTTCTGTCAGTGTTTGGTGAGGGTGAGGTGGAGAAAGGAAGATGAGAGAGGGGAGTTTCTTACTCTTAAAAAACAAGGTCAGCTCATAACATTCTTTGGAGGCAATCCAAACATCTAACATAAATGCGTTTGCCACAAGGGGGAGCCATTCCCCATAACACCTGGCATACCTTTTCAAATAAAAATAGGTAGTAACATTGAATCAACACTTTATTTTTTAAATATCCACATAACTGCAACTAAAATAACAATGAAAATGTTATTACTAATTTTAAAATTCGTACAATAAAGGAAAAAGAAAAAGGCTCTCTTTTT